TTGTAGATTCTTCTCAGTCCGAATCAGATTTACAAGGATCTATTTAATTCTCAAAGTACGGTGAAAGAACTGGCCAAAACAGACGCTGTTAATTGATACTAATTCTCGACTGTAATGTGTTCCCGTATCCCCTTCTCGACCCCCCTCCCCTCCCTTCCTCCCTTTCTCCCCTCCCCCCTTCCCTCCTCCCCCCTCCCTCCCTTCCTCGCCCCTCCCTTCCCTCCTCACCCCCTCCCCTCCTCCTCCCTCCCCTATCCCCCCTTATCCCCCCCTTCTTCCTTCCTCACCCCCCCCTCTTCATCCATCTTCCTTCCCGCCCTTTTCTTTTTCGCGAAAACTTTCTCTTTCAAGACTACCTGAACCCTAGAACGAGAAATGAAGACCGAAAATATGGATGTACATAATCAGGCGGCTATATGAATACATATATATATATATATATATATATATATATATATATATATATATATATATATATATATATATATATTATATATATATATATATATATATATATATATATATATATATATATATATATATATATTGACACACACACACACACACACACATATATATATATATATGTATATGTATATACACACATATACATATATATACAAATATATATGTATGTGTATACACACACACAATATAATATACACATATATGTATGTATATGTACACACACACATATTATACACATATAAGTATGTATATGTACACACACACACACAACACACACACACACACAACACACACACATATAATATATATATATATATATATTGTGACGTATGATTTGCTTTTGGCATTTTGTGCATGTGGGTCGAGTAGGTTTTATGGTGTCTTGGCTAAGATACGATTGTGCGTTTCTATACACACATAGATGTATAAATACCTGTGTGTATGTGGGCATGTGTGTGTGTGTGTTTGTTTGCATATGTGTGAGTATGTACATATACATACACTATCCATACAAAGAACAATAATCAAAATTATCACAAAACTCCAACCATTATATGAAAAGCCCTTAAACAAACAAACAAAAAAATAAATGAATAAATAAATATATACATATATATATATACATATATATATATATATATATATATATTATATATATATATATATAATATATACCCATAAACCAAGCTAATCTTCCTCCAGTCAGACCCCAGACCAAGAATAACTTTCTCCCTAAAGGACAGGAGAAAAAAAAAGAAAAAAGAAATCAGCCTGTCTTCCCTGTTGCTTCTCAACCCTAGACACCATAGCTAATAAGCCCGAGCGACATTATAAGGCTTCATCTCACGGGCTGGTGTGGCGGGTCGTCCTCGGGAGCCTGTGTGTTGGAGAGGGTGTTTTGTGGTGTGTTTGTTGGAGGTGTTTGTGTGGTTTGTTGGAGGTTTCTGTTTGTGTGTGTTTGTTGGAGGTTTCTGTTTGTGTGTGTTTGTTGGAGGTTTCTGTTTGTGTGTGTTTGTTGGAGGTTTTTCTGTTTGTGTTGTTTGTTGGAGGTTTCTGTTGTGTGTGGAGGTTTCTGTTTGTGTGTTTTTGATTTCTGTTTGTGTGTGTGTTTGTTGGAGGTTTCTGTTTGTGTGTGTTTGTTGGAGGTTTCTGTTTGTGTGTGTTTGTTGGAGGTTTCTGTTTGTGTGTGTTTGTTGGAGGTTTCTTTCTGTTTGTGTGTGATTGTTGGAGGTTTCTGTTTGTGTGTGTGTTTTTGTTGGAGGTTTCTGTTTGTTGTGTGTTTGTTGGAGAGGTTTCTGTTTGTGTGTGTTTGTTGGAGGTTTCTGTTTGTGTGTGATGTTGGAGGTTTCTGTTTGTGGTGTGATTGTTGGAGGTTTCTGTTTGTGTGTTTGTTGGAGATTTCTGTTTGTGTGTGTTTGTTGGAGGTTCTGTTTGTGTCTGTTTGTTGAGATTCTGTTTGTGTCTGTTTGTTGGAGGTTTCTGTTTGTGTGTGGTTTGTTGGAGTTTTCTGTTTGTGTGTGTTTGTTGGAGGTTTTTTTTTTGTGTGTTTGTTGGAGGTTTCTGTTTGTGTGTGATTGTTGGAGGTTTCTGTTTGTGTGTTTGTTTGGAGATTTCTGTTTGTGTGTGTTTGTTGGAGGTTTCTGTTTGTGTCTGTTTGTTGGAGATTTCTGTTTGTGTCTGTTTGTTGGAGGTTTCTGTTTGTGTCTGTTTGTTGGAGGATTTCTGTTTTGTGTGTGTTTGTTGGAGGGTTTCTGTTTGGTGTTGATGTTGGAGGTTTCTGTTTGTGTCTGTTTGTTGGAGGTTTCTGTTTTGTGTGTGTTGTTGGAGGTTTCCTGTTTGTGTGTGATTGTTGGAGGTTTCTGTTTGTGTCTGTTTGTTGGAGATTTCTGTTTGTGTGTGTTTGTTGAGGTTCTGTTTGTGTCTGTTTGTTGGAGTTCTGTTTGTGTGTGTTGTTTGGAGGTTTCTGTTTTGTGCTGTTTGTTGGAGTTTTCTGTTGTGTCTGTTTGTTTTCTGGATGTTTGGAGTTTCTGTTTGTGTCTTTTGTTGGAGGGTTGTGTGTTTGTTGGAGGTTTCTGTTTGTGTGTGAATTGTTGGAGGTTTCTGTTTGTGTCTGTTTGTTGGAGGTTTCTGTTTGTGTTCTGTTTGTTGGAGGTTTCTGTTGTGTGGATGTGTTGGAGGTTTCTGTTTGTGTTGTTGTTGGAGGTTTCTGTTGTTGTCTGGTTTTGTTGGAGATTTCTTGTGTTTGTGGCTGTTTGTTTGGAGGTTTCTTTTGTGTCTGTTTGTTGGAGATTTCTGTTTGTGTGTGTTTTTGGAGGTTTCTGTGTGTTGGAGGTTTCTGTTTGTTTCTGTGTGTGTGTTTTGTTGGAGATTTCTGTGTTTGTGTTTCTGTTTGTTGGAGGTTTCTGTTTGTGTCTGTTTGTTGGAGGTTTCCTGTTTGTGTGTGTTTGTTGAGGGTTTCTG